ACCACCACACAAGGCCGAGAGTTCATCATTTCCCGCTGCCTTTCACTTCATTTATGATTCTTGCTCCCACAAGGATATAAACTTCTCATCTTTAATCTCGCAGCCAATCGTCTGCACCCAATTCCAGTACGTCTCCGGCCCACTTCTCACCCTTGGCTCTCCCTTGCCCAGATCTCTTTCTTTTCCTCCCTCTCACAATATTTCAGCTCTATATATCCACCAGGTGGAGGAGCTGACTTTGTACTATTTCTGATGGGTTCACATGGGTTAAAAACTTCAATCATGGGCAGGGAGAGACCAGCTTCACATGGACATTTGTCTCTGTGACCCTTCTCAAGCTGTGTCACTTGACTTTAGGTCAGATAAACCCATAAACTGTCAGATTTAAAAGATTCAGACGTTCTTACCTTCAGATACAGTTCAGCGGGATCTTTTAGGATTTATTTAAGGCTAAGGGAGAGAAGCTGCCGCAGCACTCGCCTGATTTATATTATTTTACACTGACAAAGGCCCTAGATAACTATTGTTCCACATACAGTTCTGTTCATCATCCCAACGGTGCTGTAGGAGGACGGCACTATGAACTGCTATATCTGTGAACAAGAAAGATATTTCTCTCATGTATAAAAATGTGTTCTTTTGTCTGTCCAATTGCACATAATTGTTCTTAAAATTATAATTGATTTACTTTTAATTGTCTTTGTTTATCCATTGAGGTTGATATGCAGAAACATGAAATATTTAGATGGCTATAAGAACAAAACTAAAACAGACTTAAAGTTGGTGAAGATGATCGTGCTTTCGTGCCTTTCTTCAATCCCTTCCTGTATATCAGCATTGTGTTCAACTAAATAGGCCCAGGTTTATGCTGAGGAAGTAAATTGGGAGTAAACTGGTTCTAGAAGATTATTGCAGCTGTATTTGATTACTACACATGCTTTTAGACATTTTGATTTGGTGATCTGCTGTGGGTTTCTTCTAATCTGAAATATGTCGTGACTCAAAGATTGGAAAACATTAATGTAGTATATCAGTTCAGCAAGCGTTGCCAAACTTAAGTTATTGAATTACGCACCACACGACCCGCAGGTCTTTTCTGTGATCTCAGATTCAGTTTCATATTTAAGTGGGAAACACATGCAGATGTCAAAATGTTGTATTTTTTTGGGTGAAACCACAGATTTCAATCATTGTGCTCAACTCAGCCTACACTCTGACATTTAATTCAGAATAGCCATTGTCTTTGCCACAATCCTGTCAGTAAATATATTCAAAATATGACAGCTCAAATACATTCCAAATACATAAGGCATCTGTTAGTAATCCATTACATGTTGGGACGTGAAGTGCTGGACTGTTATCTTGTCCTGTCTGCTAACAATCATGGTTTTTCACCCAGGGTTACCACATTGTCCCATAGGAGCGGATCCCAGCAGCTGCTGCTGATAAGAGGAAGGAAAAGGTTGGATGTTGTGTTTGTTGTCCATAAGCCATATCATTGTTTGGTTGATCCACCAATCAAGGAGCAAATCATACAGGTGGATCTATCCGTCCATCAAACCTTCAGACAGACGGCTGCCGTCTGGTTGATGGTTCCTGATTCTGAGCTTTGTGGAAAGGCTTCCAGGGTGGTTGTTCTCTCTGATTGGTATCCTGGACTCGTTTCCATTCACATTACAAATCCATCAATGTACAGCAGGGTACTAATGAGAGGCCATTTATCAGTAATTAACTACGTTGGTGATGATAAAGAGGAGATCAGTCACATATGGTATCCCATATATGCTGTGTGTTGTGAGACAGTCATGACAGTGGAAACTGATGGTTCACCTAGCTGCAGATTCAGTGTTATCCAGCTGCTCTTAAGGTATAGTAGTATTATGAAAAAAAACATGTGCACCTGAGGATGAAGACCAGTCATGAGAACAAATTAATTACATTTCACTTGGAGCTCTTTCTACACATTTTACCACAACACCTCTTTCATTTCTCACTCTACTGAGCACTTGAAAAATAACAAAAACGTGTTTTGATTTGATTGATTTTTCAGCTAATTTTTAGAGTGCTGGCAAAAAGGCCTGCTCAGGGATTTCTAAAGCTCTGTTTTGCATTTCTTCTCCCAGGATATTTTGCTCACATGTTTGCCCTATGAAAGCGTAATTGTTTCAGTTTTGGACTAATTGCACTTGAAACACAAAGGAGCGGGTAAAAAATCTGACAGGATTCTGCTAAACACCTTAGTGAAAACCCAGAGTGGATTATGATGGAAAATACAAAGCTGGTAGAAAGCTTCATGACAGACATTGGTTTAAGGAGTGTAAAATGTGTGTGTAGAGTCCCTACAAAACACAAAGACCAGTGTTTTTGTCAGGGTGGTGTTGTGCACTTATGTAATTGTGATGGTGAACTCCTTGTCATTGTGACACAGCTCACCACTGCACACAACCAAATGTGACCTCTGTTTTTAACCCATCACCAAAGTGAACAGTGGGCAGCTTTAAGCGCCCGGGGAGCAGTGAGTGGGGACGGTGCCATGCTCAGAGCACCTCAGTGGTAACCTGGCACCTGGTGGACTTGAACCTGAGACCTTCCGGACCACTTCTTTAACCACCAATCCACCACTGCAGTAAAAAAACAAACCCAGCTTCCTATTTCTATGAAGTATCTATGAAGATTCTCAGTCATCCAGGTCATGGTCAAGGTTGAAGAGTTCTGTTAGGCAACAGAAAATTCTCGGCCAGTTGCCTAACAGAACTCTTCAACCTATTTCTGTGAACTTCCTATTCACATGATGAGTTTTTTCAGATGACCTGTACTTTCCAAAAATAGGTTTTTGGAAAGTTTTTCTTCCACTCGACTCTGCAGTGTATGAGTCAGCACCGTTGTGATGTCTTGAATACCTGTCCCTGGGCCAGAGAATCATCTTGAGAGCTTTTAGAAAGACTCCATAACTCTAGGCTGGGCTCCCTGAAGGAGTAATTGAAAGGTATTAACACGGCTAAACAAGCCTCTCTGGTAAATCCTGTACAAAGTACAGTCCCTAGGTCTAATGTAGGCCACTTCAGTCCACTTCATACTGCAGAGTTGTTTCAGCTCACCTGATTTGATTGGAGAACAGCTCCAGGACCTCTATCTCTCTCTGCTTCAGTAATTTTATAGATGGAATCAAACAGCTCAGTGAAACCCAGTGTGAGATTGAAGTGGATGTCTGCCATGCAGTACATGGATCCCAGAGTTCAGATGCAGTTCAGATGGTAGATTTTAGGTTAACTGTAGTTTTTTTTTTCTTTTGTGGAATTTCTAACATGATATTGATTTTGATTTCACACTTAAAGATAAGTATATAAGAAGATTTACTGTTGCTTCCAATGATGCTATGATTTTATGTATTTTAAATCCCTGTCCAAACACCAAATTAGTGGGACATACTATTTTTATGTGTTTCCATTAAATTAGAAGAAATTACATCATTGCTTTGTTTACAGTTTTGATGCTGTTGTCAATCAGAATACAGTCATACAATTTCAGTTAATATATATTCAATTTAAATATTTCACTGCATTTATTGAATATGCAAACATTTATATTGAGAATTTAAAAATCCTTTAGGGCAAAGTGAAAGTGACAATTAGTTGAATTTGGAAAAAAATACTCGTAGCACTGTAATTTATTTTTACATCCCAGTAGGAACATACCATGGCCACATTGCCAACAAAACAATTGCAATCTAATCTAAACAACAGAGCAATCTAAACAAAGCATGTATTCACTCAGACACTGCAGTACCCTCTGACTCCAAAAAGAAATGGGATTTTTTTTTTTTTTTTGCATAAAGCTATTTTTATGTTATTTCCTTTCCTGTGACGCAAATGTCCTCTCGTATGTTGTTTTACTTAAGTGGACAATTGTTGCTTCTCTAATAGAATTTGCATATGACCAGGAGTGTCTTTATATAAAGACAGATGTCAGTGCTGTTATTTACATTCGCACAATCTACGTACCATTGGTTTGGACTCGGAGGACCAGTTTTGGTCTTTTGTTTTCATACTGGACCTTTGTCACAGTGGATTTTCAGTTTTATTAGTTTCAGATGAGCTCTTAAATATTTTATTTGTTAGGTCCCCGTACAACAACAGAGGCCAATATTCTTATATTAGTCCTATGTAAAACATCTGAGAGTCATTTTCTCACCATTTGATCTTTTGCTTAAAATAAAATGTCCATCTTTGTGACTTACTCTGTTCTGACTCCAGCCCGCATTTTAAATGTATTCCTGACAAAACCACTTTGGCCGTTGCTCACATAATGAGAAATAGTGATGTGGATCAAAACCATGACCTTTTCATTGCCAGGCAATGGAACGACTTCCTCAACAGTCATGTACCCTACCAAAAAACTAAAGCCTGGTGGGTTGTTCTCAGGTTTTCCCTGAAGGATTTGACAGTCGACCTTAAGTCAGTTTTTATAGCTGTGTAATTTTCAAATTGCATCCTTTAACGCAAAAGACTGAATAACGTCTTTAGGGGATTCAACTGTGTTTCACGTGCACTTTTGAACGCCTATGAATCAAATGCAAATGTTATTGAACTTTGATCGTCCTACATTTGATCTACATGTTGCGTTATCTTATAAACGCCACTGATCTACATGTTGCGTTATCTTATAAATATTAATTAAATATTATTCATGTCTAGAGATTATTTCTTTTTTGTACTTGTTTAATTCTATCGTTACATACATCCTAATTTATTTAAGCCTAAGATGATATAAATGTTACACCACAATGTAACAGTGGAGGTGTTTATTATATGAGAATTTGACGAGATATAATGACATATTTGTTGTGTGATTATTAGCCAGTGCCAATTAAGAAACATGTATATTATTGAAAATTGTTTGATTGATTGATGTTTAAAAGGAGTTTCAATTTTACAACTTTTAAAAGAAATACATATGGACGTACAGTGAAAAAAAACAAACAAATTTGCTTTGTCTTCCAGAGGAAAAACTTCCAGCTGCTGTTAAATGTGTTTTTGCTGGCAGCGTGGGGAGTCGTACTGTTAGCCTGCCGCTTCTACTGGATGGGCAACAAACCACCAAACTTTTCCAACTCTGACAATCCAGCGGCCGACTCGTCCTCACTCCTCACCAGGACACTCACCTTCTTCTACTTGCCTGTCATCAACTACTGGCTCCTCCTCTGTCCGGACATGCTCAGTTTTGATTGGTCAATGGATGCTTTGCCGTTAATAAGAAGCATCTCTGATAGGAGGAACATTTCTACCGTAGTGTTCTACCTTGGTCTACTGACGTTGGCCTGGTTTGGACTGTGGACCCGCCACACAGCCAAGGGCAAGGAAACAAATGGCAAAGTCCACCACCACACCAACGGCAAAAATGGAAACAGTAACGGACACGTTTACCAGTATAGCAATCATGAACATTTCAACAACTCCCACTGTGGTGTTGAAAGTGTTAGTGCTCAAAATGGTACCAGAAAGCACTTTGAGAGCAGGACTCCACTGCCCACCACAGAGAATGTTGTGGTGTTCTCTTTAGGCCTCCTGTCCATTCCATTTCTTCCTGCCACAAACCTCTTTTTCTATGTGGGCTTTGTGATAGCAGAGAGAGTTCTATACATCCCCAGCATGGGCTTCTGCCTGCTGGTCGCAGTGGGGATGAGGTCACTGTACGTTCGACTGAGGCACCGGCCTCTAAGGACAACGTTGGTGTACTGTTGCACCGTCCTGGTTCTTCTCTTTAGTGTCAAAACTGTTTTAAGGAACAGAGACTGGCAGAATGAGGAGATGCTTTACAAGTCGGGGATTTATGTCAATCCGGCTAAAGGTTAGTCCTACCACACGTGCACGCTATCATTTTGACCTAAACCTTCAGCAAACTTGTAGAAGTGAATCTGCTATTTTTCAGTGTAGCTACTGGCTGGACATTTTTAATGGCTGTCCTTTAGAAAACCTAGCCTTTGCACAGAATATAAAAGTCCTCCCAGGGTGAACTCAGACAGGGGTGAATTTAACCACCAAAGGCTCAAATACTCATTAAAATCACATCACTCCTTGTTGTTGTGCATACTTTTTCAACCAGGTATTTGAGCTGCATGATGACATAAAGTTACAAATATAAAGTGAACTGCTGCTCAAATGATTGAATATGTGATCTTGACATGGGCCTGCCAATGCTACACAGTAGCATAGTCAACACATGCTAGCAACACATGCTAGCAGGTCACACAGGTATATATACACTATATATGTGTGTGTGTAGCTACAGTTTTTTTCAACCACATTGGATTGCTAGGAAGTCAACGAGCAACGTTTTGGTGCTAAATCAGGTGTTCTTTGATTTGAACAAAATACATTCTGCCTTGACATTGAATGTTTTATATAACCAAAGTTTGAATTAATCATGTGTACAAATGAAATGGCAGTCACACTTAGTAGTATGCTTTTATACATCATTGATATCATCAGTAAAATCTAGATCTAAAACTATTAGATGCAGATGTCCTACCAAAGCAAAACTCTTAAATCAGGGACACACAGCAGCCGGACATGTTGTGTTAGCTAATTTCCCTTTTTCATATTAAGAAGTGGAGCCAAGGCGTGACAGCTGCTTGTTTTGGCGGGCCCCCTGCCAAAACAAGCAGCAGCAGCAGTGTCCCTGAGTCTCAGTCTTTATCAAACATAGACAAACTCATTGGACTCTTTATAACAGCATGGGACATGAAATAACTCCAAGCTATAAAACGTCATACATCCATCTGCACATAAGTGGGTGCAGTTGAGTGACACTAGATTGGGTTGTTTTCGTGCTGAAACATTCTCCTGGGTGTGTCGTCCATATAGAAGTAATGTAAACACATTGCTTTAAGGCACATTACATAAATTAGCATTTTAAACACATGTTCAACAGCAGCCAAGAGTGTTTGTAATTAGGTTGTCTATATTATAATATAACAAATGACAAAAAGAAAAAGTGTTTCACCTAAATTATATATATATATAAATATATATATATATATTTAAAGAAATATAGTATGTAGAAAGGCTTATTTTTGACAAAAAGAAAAAAATCCTCATCCTCCTATTCATTACAACCACACTACCATGAAAGTACGACTCTTCTTTTTTATGCACCCGTTTCAAAGTGATTTTCTTTGTTCTCATGTCGTTCTTTGACCTTTGTGTAATGCATGCACCAGCTCTCACCTGTCAAATACTAAATGGTTCCATTAAGCGTCTTTGCAATTATCCTTGCCGTAGCACTGCGGTGGTCTTCTTTTCATACAGGCTTAAGAAATGATTGGTGGCTTTGGCAAAACAACGCCCCCAGTGTGTCAAACATTTATTACTCATAATGTTTTTATGAAAATGAGTTCCACCTTGAGCGCTTTTAAATGTTTATCTCAGGCCAAGTGTGCCGCACTAACAGTTTCTAACAGAGGTATGCAATTTTAGAATACTGGGGGAAGGAGGTTTTTTGTTTTGTTTTTTGTTTTTTAGAAGAGTGAGTTTTCTCTACATGATTGACTTTTGCTTTTGTAACCTGGCAGCATGGGGTAACCTCGGAAATGTGCTGAAGAGCCAGGGCAAGATGGAGGAGGCTGAAAAGGCTTACAGAAACGCCCTGTATTATCGCAGCAACATGGCGGATATGCTGTACAACCTGTGAGTTCACTAAGTTGTATAATTTTTGTGTCTTTAACATGAAATAAGTAAAAACTCACATATATATGTAAATATATATATATGTGTATATATATGCAAATATATACGTATATATGCGTATACACAAACATATATTTACATATATACCATATATATGTTTGTGTATACACTCTATATTTATAGATATAGATAGATATATAAATATATATACACATACATTTACATATAAATATAAAAATGTTTTTTGGGTCATGTTAATGATTGAATGTGCACACTACGTCTCCTATGACCCGTGTTCACATTGATCAGAGCTGTTGTCTCGGAGGAAGTGTCTTGTATTCCCCAGAGAGCTGTCCGCCTGACGAGACGTTTAATGGTGCTGTTTTGGCCCAAGGAGAAAATTCAAATTATCCAGAGCGGATATCTGAGCGTTCCTAACTGTCTGTGGTTTATTCATATCCAAATTCATCGCTTCACCTCTTCCCTCCAGTTTTATCAGCCGCTTGTGTTTTCTGCATAAACTTCACAGCCTATAACCTGAAACATAATCTCTCTGAGCTCTTAAAGGCCCCCACTATCACTTCTTTTTTCCCTGTTCCAGTGGTTTGCTGCTGCAGGAGAGCAACAAGTTCGCTGAGGCACTACACTACTATAAGCTTGCCATTGGTAGTCGGCCAACTCTGGCTTGTAAGTACAGCTCTTCCTTTTTATTGACAATCTCCAGCTCTTGCGGTTGTGGCTGTGCTGTGTCCAGGCAACAGTGAGAGAAGGCTGCGGTTGTGTGAAGTCAGGGAAGTAGGTGCCAAAGGGCAGTGGGTATGTGGCCAAATTAAACCTTCCACACAGCTGGATTGGTGTGACTAGATCATGTTGCTGCATTAGCTCATTTATTATAAATCCAGCACTGATTTTACCTATCACACCTTCCAAACATACAAGCTCTCTCTTCACCGCTATCTGTCTTTGGTCTCAGCTCTCCAATTTCCTTCGTCTTGTGTTCTTCATCCATCTTCATCTCCAGCAGGTTTGCTGTTTAATTGGACCAAATTAATCAAACCCTCAACAGATTATGCAGTAAATTAACTATTGGTCCAGACATTTGTCACTGACTGATATACAGAGAATCTTAAACATCGCACAATTTCTGTGAATTAATTAAAGGCTGCGCTCAGATGAGAAGATTTCTATTCACTGTGAAATTATCTGATCTGTTCCAGTCGATAACAGTTAATTAATGAATCTAAGTCGCAGACGTAGTTAAGAGAGGATAAAACACCCCTGACTAGTGCAGCTGGGTAGGAGACTGTTAATTGCCTGTGGTTTGTGTATTCGTTAATTTAAGCACAGATCAGTTTAATGTAAAAATGCCATGTTTAAACAGTTTCTAAGTAGTGCAGCATGGTACAGAGGGAATTATTTAAGGATCAATTTAACTGTACGTCGACACCCTGCTTCATGAGGTTAATTTATTCCAAAGGCAAGTCTAATTGGTGGTGGTTACCAAAGGCAGGTCCGTGGAGACTAATTAGAATACAGCTGTGTATTGATCATGAGGGTCGTCTAACGAGGTAGTCACTCAGGGGTAAGGTAACCAAACATCCAGGAATCCCACAGGACGTACAAAAAGGTCAGATGAGTATACAGTAAAAACTGTGAACAGAGGGTTACTGTTTCACCCCAAGATGTTGGAGATGGTCATTTGTCATCATCACACATCTCTGTGGCCTCAGGTGAGAGAGGCTTTATTTAAAGGTACAGTATACAGCAGAACTCACTTGACTTTGAGATTTAGTGCTACATCTTTGATACACACTACAGAAACGTGCAAAGCAGTGTAAGTAAATATCACTTTACTGTTGTTACCGTGGACTGATGGGCAGTGCATGGCTGCTTAACGCGTCTGCCTTACATGCAGAAGGTCCAGGTTGTGAGCCCCAGAGGAATCCACACAGGTCCAGGTTGTGAGCCCCAGAGGAATCACAAACTTGATGGCTTCTCTGTGGCAGTCTGTGTGGATTTCTCTATTGTGGCTGAATAATGGAATTTGTTACGGTATATTTACTCATCACCTTCATTCTTCATTTTCCACCCACACGGTGTCAGCTGTCACTCTAATCTTCTGATTTCTCATCCTGCACATTCTGGTTGTCTCCCAGTGTTAGTCAAAGCTTCTTTAACTTTCATTAACCAGTGAGACTGTCTCTAAATAAACACCTTTCCTTGTACTCTGTTCTTGTGTCGTCCTACACAGCGGCCTACTTGAATACCGGCATCATCTTGATGAACCAGGGTCGCTCAGATGAAGCCAAGCGCACCTTTCTAACATGTGCTGATATCCCCGATGAGAATCTGAAGGACCCCCACGCCCACAAGAGCTCAGTCACCAGCTGTTTGTACAACATGGGAAAGATGCTCCACGAACAGGGACATCAGGAGGTACTTCACCGCAGACGTGCTTTTCCATCGACACCTTAATACTTTAAATGTGGTGTAGTGATAATAACGCAGTTGCTGTGTTGTGAGTGTCAGTACATTTCTGCTGGTCACTCTGAGTTACTGAATGAACAGAATGTTAAACCCAGTTCCCACACAGTTTTTCTTCTCTTTGTAAACGTCCATATGTCGGTCGCTGTGCCCTATGGTTTCCCACTCATGCATATTAATAGCGCAGTCCGGCTGATTCAAACGTCAAGATTCAATGAGTTTTTTATAGGTAGTCGGCCTGCTGGACAAAAGAGGAGCTGCACTTCCTTTAACCTCAACACTATTTGTTTTAACAATAGCCGTACTTATAAGGGGCTCTGAGGTGAATCACTGAACTAACACGCTATATATACATTCCAGTCAGTATGTGACACTGACCGTGGTGGATTTAATAGCCGTATAACTGAGGATAGACCCTTTCTGCTCAGCTCTGTATGAAGCAACCTCCCTGCGACCTCCAATTCCACGCTGTGTATTCACAGTGTCAGGGCCTGGGGCTGCAGCGGAGGAATGAGTGCCTTGAGCAGTTGCCAGTTTCTCTAATGCAAACACCCCACCACCTGCACCCACTCCTTTTTTCATTTGTTTCATTCACAGGAGGCCCTCTCCGTGTTTAAGGAAGCAATACAGAAAATGCCAAGACAATTTGCACCACAGAGCCTTTACAACATGATGGGTAAGAGCAGCTTTTATCTGTTGACTCTCATTGTCCAGTCTCCCTTATTAACTAATAGCATGTGATAGTCTCTTACTTTGACCAGTTTGTATTACAGTTAACCAGATAGGACTAGTTGACAACATTTTTAACTCCTTTTTCTACATGAGAGACCATATGTTGTATAACATTGTCCTAGTTTGAGGTAATAAAAAAAAAAGACAGTGACTTTGACATTGTGCCAGGAGCATTCAAAAATGGAGCCAATCAGTGAAAGTTTCAGGTTAAGGTGATGATAGGAAAATATGTTTTGAGTAATCCCAGGAAATCTGTGAAAATATATGTGAAATAAATGATGTTTATAATACTAGCTGTACTCAAATCTTTAGCATAATAGTGATTAAAATTTTTTGCTCTTTTGCAGAATTTCATATTTTTTTCTTTCTCTTACTCTGTCTCTCTCTCTCTTCTTCTACTTTAACATACACAGTAAAACTGAGACTGCGTCTGTAATTCACAGCCACCAGTCTTATGTGTTTGCTTCTGTGTTGGCAGAAGCACGTTGTCAGCTATACACTAGTCTGAATGTTGGTGAGAGCCACAGTCAGCATTAGTTAGCGAGCAGCACTGCAGATGTAGCATTGTAATGAATGCACTCAGCTGTTTATGTGTGCCTTCAAACTCCCAGCACTGTTCACTCACTGATCTGATTTCCATTCTTGGCTAGCGCTCGCCTCTGCTTCCTTCTAGTTTCACTAGAAACGTTTTCACTGTTGCTTTCGTGATGTTTGTCAGACCTCAAGGAGAAAAGCTTTCATCAGAGGCAGACCGAGGTGGTAATCTGCATCCCGCTGGTCTGGCTGGGAAATTCCTCGGTGGACCGAGGAATGTTCCCTTTTGAGAAACTGGATTTAAACTGTAGCGCAATGGATGTCACCTTTAATTGTTCAAGGATTATCGTGTTTATTCTGTACAACAACCTGTTGCCAATGAGACAAAACAAGTGATTTGGAAAAGCTATAATGAATGCACATTATCTGACGTACCCATTAATTAACATAACCAACCTAAATTAAATATCCTTAATTAGTCCTTAATCTTTGTTTCCTTCCAAAGGAGATACATGCACTGTAGGAGTAATAGAATGAACAAAAGGAATCCCAATATCCTTATAGACTGATGTAATTATTGATATTTGTATTTTTAGGGATGACTCGATCTGATATTCGGGATCAGTATCGGTCTGATATTGGTCAAAATTTTAGGAAAAAAAAACAATGAAAGAAACAATGAAATGAAGTGAAATCTTGTTCTAACTTAAATGATCTTTATGTCTTGAAGAGAAAGTATTCAGGTGTCATTTACACGTGTTATGATTTTCATAGTTAGTGTTTTTAGATCTTAGATTAGAAAATCCCAGCTGTAATTGCTCGAGTGTCACCTGTTCCTTATCACAGTCGAAGCCCCAGCAGAAATGAGTTGAACTTGGCTCTAGTCTAAACAACCCGTCCCATCATGCACCTCACCATAGGTTTTTCACAAAATGTTTAACACCTGTCTCATATTGACTTTTTAATACTTTTCTCCTAATCTGTTATGTAGTTGATTTTATCTCTGCAGTGTCCACTTACAGTCCAGTGCTTGTAATAATACAAGTGTGATTAGATGAATAGGAAGTGGAGGTCATTGTTATTTCAGGTGTGAGCCAGCAGAAGGTCAGTGTTAGTGGAGGGGGGGTCACTGAGTCTAAGGCTGCGATAAAGACGGACCAATACAGCTTTTTTAAGTTTTTCTTCTTTTATTTTTTTTCTCATATCTCTAGGTTAATATGACCACTATTAAAGAAAGCTATCTTACAAAATCATGATAATGATTAATACCCTTTCAAATCCCCTAACATCCAGCCTGTTTTACTGCAGACGGGTGGTGTGTGAAGTGCAGCTTAGGACCAAATCCTGAACCAATAACAGGAGGATCTGTGATCTCTTAACCTCTGACCTTTCATTCTCTGTTTCCCTCCCCTCTGTTCTTCTCACAGGAGAGGCTTACATCAGACTAAACAAGCTGACTGAAGCAGAACATTGGTACAGAGAGTCGCTGAGAGCCAAGCCTGACCACATCCCTGCGCACCTCACCTACGGCAAACTGTTGGCTATGACGGTAACTGAACTGCTCACCTCCGTGAAGTGACATCGAGACTTTTTAGAGGCAGATTACTGACCTGTGGTCACAGTCAGAAGACAAAGGTTTTCCAACTCACTGACGGCCACTTAAATTGATGCAGCTCAATGAAGGTTGAATGCCTTACTTATCAATGGACGTCCCAGCTGAGCTAAATGCTATGTGTCTGTGCAACGTTCCATCAACGGATTTATTTACCTGCATAAATCACTGTCACTTTTTATCTCTGTGTTGCTTTCACTTTTGTTTTAATGCATTCTGCTTTGTTCCACTTCTCTGCAGCCCCGTAGTGATGGTTGCAGTCACTACAGTTAATCAATAGTGTGTGGGTGAAACAATGGGAGAGGAAACTTGATAAGGGCAAGGCTGGTGTTGTTTTCTGAGAATGATAAGCAGCCTGTCAGGGTGTGCAGAGGCTGCAGGAGGCAGCGATGAAGATGTTTGCTTTAAGAGTAGAACATTTAATGACCTGAACAATGGATCTTACATGATAAAACTGTATTGACGTCACACTACCACTTTGTGTTTATGGTAACCAAGGAAAAAGCTGCGTAGCCTCAGCCCAACCCTCCACACTCGTATCTTGCAGATAGTAGCTGAATGGAGAACTGAAAAAGAGCCAAATAAAACAAATTAGTGGAAAAGGTGAAATTATAGGCTAACTAACACTCCAATCTGCCTTAATGTGGTCTTTATTGGAGCAGATAAAAGGACCTTAATGCCTTTTAAACACGTGGTGGTTGTCTCATCGCTTCCAAAGAGGGTAATGTTTCTGTTTTCCTAAACTCTCTCCGTTATTATGAACGAGCGTGCATCGTAACGTACGTGTATCATTTATTAAATCATTCAGCAGTTATTTACTTATGTAAACTTGCTCACAAATCTTTCAGTTTGATCATGTTTGAGCCGTGTTATTACTCTTCATATATAATGAATAGTCTTGACATTTTTCTTTCTTTTTTTTTTACCGTAATTCTTGCCAAACTGTAGATGAGAAGTTTCGTTATTTGTGTGGGTTTCTCACAGAGTCCTGGAAAGCAGTGGATTGGCTGAAGCTTTGCTAAAGTTGGAAACAGCTTGTTTCTCCGTATTCAACTCCCCAGTCGCTCTAATGCTTTATAATTAAAAAGCTATGTTTCAATGGTTTCATCCCGAAACCAAAGGATAAAATACAACCACGCTAAAAACAGACTGCATTTTCCCCTCTGTCATACCAACCTCTTCAGCCTTTTTACTGGCAGTTCTATAACTCAATGAAAACATAATACTATAATAGCAGTAATAAATACTAATATATAATGCTTTAATGATATGATATTTGTATAAATACTTGCATCAGTAAAGTGAATCATTGTGTGTCCAAATCACATTACGCGTCTGCACACAAGGCTGCATTTCCCCATCTGCTCTGCACTAACCAGAGGTCAGTGTGAATCAAAGACGTTCACTGACGAGTCCTCCTCAGACAAAATGAAGTGAAGTCCACCTTCAGATGACCTTTCTTCTGATGGGGTCAACACTAAACACCGTTCCTGATACAACACCTTTCATCACATTCATGTGTAATTTTTGGTCATGTATTTCAGTACAAACCCTGAGTCTTAGTTGAAGACAAACTCTAGACCTTCTAAATCTACATTTAAAAAAATCACATCACAGCGAACATTAACCCTGACCTCTGGGTACATGGAGAGCACAGCTCCCTGCAGGGGAGAGTAAAGATTTAGGGAAGGGAATTATGGGAAGAATTCATTCAGCCATGAAGACAAACCCACTTTGTTTGAGAAAGTGCTATTGATTTTGGAGGAGAGAGGAGCTCAAACCTGCTGGGATAATTCTCCCTCCATCTCAGACTGTGATGGATGTTGTTTGGAGTCGCTGTGATCATGAGCGCGAGTAGAGAACTCCACTATGGTGTTGAGAAGGCCTCTCCAATGAAAGTTCCTTTCCTCTCACTGAAACGTTAGTGATTGTTTTCACCCACGGATCAGAGTCAGGTTACCAATTTATGATTAAATCCATGTTCTGGATGTGATATATGTGTCTCAGGAAAAGAACACTTAAAACCATTCAAACCAGTCCAGGACATTGATCTTTTCATCACCCTCTGCCTTTGTTATTATTTACTTCCCTATGCTCAAAGGCACTACAGTAGATGACCAGGATGCTTCAGATACTGTAAAAGGTTTTGGACATTTATACGTTATCAGTAACACAGTCAAACTCAAGGCCCGGGGGCCAAATGTGGCAAGCCAAGTAATTTTTTATGGCCCGCAAGAGCTTAAAAAGCATTTAATTAAGTCTATGCAGCAGAGTTTCTCTGATAATTTTTTTTTTTTATCACACAGCAACGAACAATATTTGTAACTCAAATAATTAATAATCAATTGCAGGAACATTATGTTAGTTATGGAGTAGTGACATCTATACAGTCTTCCAGTTCCAAGGCCCTTCAAGGGGAACTGTACTGCTGATGTGACCTCTGGTGAAAATGTGTTTGACCCACGCTGTTTTAGAGAGACGTGACCAGGATGCAAGATGAGATTAGAAAATAGGTATGAGCAGGAAAAATTAGACTGAACCAGAAACTTTGGCACATTACCAGAGTGTGGTCTGTGTAGTGGAACTGACAATTGTTTGTCTGTAAAAGGATGGAATAGGACCCCCTGCCCCATCTTCTGTCTTTGCTGCACTGACCCTTCCACACCTCTAATCACATCACAGAAATCAGGATGCTTTCAGCATCGTTGCACTCCTCAGATTAGCAGATGTGACATGTGCCGTGCTGGATCCTGTCATGGACCTGCTGCCATTTCCTCTGATAATAAAACGCAGGCATTTTGCATAATGCTCACAGATGACATTTCTTCACGCGACACCCACGGAGTCGGAGCCACATCTGTCGTTTGTCTTGTTTTATCAGGAAAATTGATGAGTGAGGCACGCGTCAATAATCACAGCGTGTGTGACAGAGAGGGAGGAGAGTTCATTCAGACAATGAGCCGAGGAGAATGACGAGCAGATACGGGAATCACACACGTGACTGCGGCTTACTTTTGAATCAGCAAAGGCAGGGTAGTTATAGTTTTAACAAAGGTATAAATGAAGTGATAGCTTTTAATTGTACTTTACATTATATTTTAAGTAAGTGCTTTCAATTATAATCCAAGTCTTGACAAGTCAACAGAAGTCTTTTTTTTCTCAATTTAAGGGCCACATACTGTATATTAATAATAATAACAATAATTATTATTTATTTAATTTGACTAGGGCAAAATCCAGACAAATATTTATATACCATGACTTTCAGAGTTACTAGCGGGGATCGAACCGGTGACACATATGCTGTAAGGCAAAAACTACGCATTTACCGAATTCAACATTCATTGAAAATATACAGCTATATGCTTGAGTAGGCATACTTGATGGGTACTGCAGTGACCAGGACAAATCGATCACATTACTATATGTGGTTTTTCTGTATTAGAAATAGTTTCACTGATCTGTGTGAATGTATTTTATATATTTTTTTATATAATTCTTGCATCATAGCGCCAACACAGACTTTAACAACTGCCTATGAAATGGAATGAATTATTCATGTCAAGCAATTATCTTTCCCAGTGAAAACTGTGAAAACTAATGAGTTGCGTTGTTATTGCTAAAACACCAGCATTTATAGATGACTGCTCTTTGTTAATTGTTGATCAGACGGCACCTGCTACCAACTGAGAGCATGATGTATGTGTCCATGTGGCAGCTGTCACGTCTGCCTTGTCTTGTTTGAAGCGTCTTGGGAGTTCTCAGAGTCTACTCCAGGTTTTGGAATAGGAGACTCTGACTTTAATCAGTCAAAAAAAACAGACCTTAATTTAAATCACAGCATCTCAGTGGACACGTGTCCCCTTTTCACCTCTTACCCTCCTGTTCCATTTTCCTCCACCAGCCTCTCTCTTCCTTCATGAACCTCGGTGCAGACAGACACACAGTCTGTGGTTATGGCCTGGAAGTCTTACACGTGTAGATAAAAGTGTGTAATGAATGACTCTTCGCTCCTTTGGCCCACTGCACCAAACACAACTTTGACAAAAAGACACATGAGCTTGAAGGAAAACCACCGGTGGTCTGTGTGTTCCTTGTACATAAGATTTATTGTTAAAGTAGGTCTGTGGTTTACAGAGGAGCATTAGGGTATACACCAAGGTATTTTAGACCTTGTACTGAAGGTGGTGTTCTTATAATGAGTTGTTCAGGGAGCAGTTGAAACAATGACACTGCATTTAATCTTTTTTTTTTTTTTGGTCCTTAGGGGCAGAAAACAGAAGCGGAGAAGTATTTTTTGAAAGCCATCCAACTTGACCCGACAAAGGGCAACTGTTACATGCATTATGGTAAGAATTTGGACAAACTTTCCACGGAGATTCTCTTTACCTAAAAATACGAGTCATTTGACATTTAAAGCAGTCAATTCATCATTTTTTTACACTGTTAGCCTACGGCTGTCACATCAAAGGTTAAGAACACACCAACACAAAATCAAGTGTCAAAACATGATATCTTTTATAACCTAAATATGGAATGTTTGGAAACCATTATTCATTTCTGCTTGCTCTTCTTTTTAATTAATTGACTTATTCATTTTTAATCACCTTTAAAGAACCAGTGAGGGCAGAGCACACAAATTCAGATATTCATAGTCATGCAACATATTTTTAAAGTTTGTATTGATGTGAATAGTGCAGGATTTATAAGTTTAAAGTTTCTAAAAATAAAGTACTGAATATTGATCATTACTAAGTTTTATTAACTTTTCCTGAAACTGAATTAAAAATAACATTGCAATGTATTGTATGTCTAAAGTTTTCTAATTAGAACTTTTATCTTTTCTTTAAAAAAACCCATATTGATTAACTTTCAAAAGTCATTGTCTTTAACTATTTGAATCAGTCTACAATCAACTGTCACAGTTTGGTATTGGAGAAACATTACAAACCATTCTTCCACTACAGCACAGTTAAATGAAATAAAACCATTGACTCGGATTAATTTTACAAATTAATTAACACCATAATAATATTTCATATAAATCTAAGTCTTTAAATGCCTGTAAATGTAGTGTTTATTTTAGAAAACCTTTCCATTTTTTCCATTTCAAACTGCTGTTCTAAATGTGTTTCTTAACTTCTTGAAAACATTCTCTTTACTGCTGAGTTTGGTTGATTCAGTCCTCACACACCTCCCTAAAATAGCAGGTTACTCCTGGGCTTTGTTATAGAGAGTATCTCTTCTCCATTACTCATGGATTTATTTTTAAATCAGAAAACATCCATTACTGCAGATGTGTTTGTAACCTGGAGCTAGTTTACACTCCACTCCACCAATCTCTTGATTTTGGATTTTTTTTTCCTCCCCCTCCCTCAGTCCTGCAGAAAAGGCTTTAGTTTCATCCACAGTCTTAGAGAAAATATGCCCTGGTTCCCTTGGTGGTTTAGCATCCTGGTACGGCAGTGCAGCTAACCAAAGTCAATAGAGTATTAATGTCTCCTCAACCCAGGGCCTTTGCGAGGGGTCCTGCTCTGGTTCCCTGCCTGGCCAGACCTTTATAACCTTGTTAGGTTTGTCCACATGGTTCCACGGCCACACCAGAAGTCAGGAGCAGACCTACTGCAAAACGCAGAAAATGATAGTTCTATCAAGGTCGGCTAATCTGAGCTAATGTTGCTGAGATCCAGCCAAGGAAAGGTGGTGTGCTGAACTCAGATTTCATATTATTATATAAGGCCAGACCAGTTTGCCCTTTCACCTGTGCCAAAGGCAATATCCCACGTCTGTGTATCCCCGAGTGTCTCTTCAGTAAACCCTGTGTAATATTTCTGCCGTTCTCTCTCCTCCTCTGCCAGGCCAGTTTTTGTTGGAAGAGTCACGGCTGCAGGAAGCGGCAGAGATGGCGGAGAAAGCTGCACGCCTCGACGGCGGCGAGTTTGATGTGGTCTTCAGTGCTGCTCATATGCTTAGGTGAGCGTTTTCAATAGAATTGTTTTCATAACTTGGGCCCATACCCAGTCAAGCTACAGATTTTGAAGTGTCAGAAGAGGTGGTCTTCGCTTACCGCCGGGTTAACTGAGAGTTTACACTTGTCAGGCTGTGTGCTTTCCTTGGCTGTGCTCTGTGATCGTCTCCTCTTGTTGCAGTGCCAGCCTGAAAGCTGCTGGTTTGTTTTTGCATGCTGTGCAGCAATGTGTTTTCATATGCTCTGTGTCTCTTCGTTTCGCTCACTCAGACCTCCCGCTCTGTCTCTCTCCTCTGCTGTCACTGGCTCATACCCCAACACAGTGTAGGGTTCTGCTGATGAAATGTATGGAGCAGCCTTGAAAGAGCTAACAAGGGCTACAGTTGCTACATACTGATGTGTACAATGGCCACAAAAAAAAAAAAAAAAAAATCATTGGAAAAATATGTTTTCTTAAATATTCAGTATAATACGTGTAATACTATAATAGCAAACAGATTTTCTTTTGTTTTGTCATTGACCAGGAGTCTAAGATCTCTGGCTTAAACTGTGAATAAAGATGTGTTAGAATAATAATTCCAACATCTCAGTTGTCCGGGATCTTTGCAACTGAATGAAACTTGAGTTTTTTGGAACTAGCTTTTTTTTTTCGAGCCGTCCTAGAACCCAACATTTCTTGCTACCTTTGTGGTTACATTACTATTTCCTCAACTCCTGTTTTTTTAAAGATTGAGTGGCTCAGAAATGTCTACACTCATTATATTTCCCCTGAGCGGCAGAATCTGTACTGTAATACTGAGGCTCTGTAGAAAACTGATGCTGCGTACAGTATGTGCAGCTGTCACATACTGGAAGAATGAAGAGAATAAGGCAAAAAAAATCATAGAAACGCAGATGTGTTACTGTTTGACCAGAAAACACACGTCTTAATCAGACACAATCTGCAGTTTAAAAAATATATTTAATCATGTGTGACAATTGTTTACAAATCTGTTCACTTTAAAATAATAAATCTTGTATTATTCTACCTACATCTGAATCTCGAGAAAATTGGCTCTTTTTATAAATATAAAATATATATCTCATATAGTCATATATTGATTTTGACACAATTGTCACCCTAAAAATCTGTGATGTTCTGAATCATAGATCATGAAGTTAGGTTTTCCTGCAGGAATGTTTTGTTGGACTTGGTGCTGAAAACCTGAAATTGAAATGTAGACGTTGACCAGAACATTTGTTGGCTTAGGAAACAGAGCTAAAGAAGAAGGCAAGAAAATTTCGGTGGTAAAGGTTCCTCAGGTGAGGAAAACAAAAACTGTTGTTACATTTCTATGGAAGAATAAACATAATTCACAACTTAACATATTTTCTGGACTATAAGTCACACTTTTTTTAATTCTTTGGCTGGGTTTGCAACTTACTCGGGTGCGACTTTGTATTAAAATAAATAATTTCACGTTTGTTATTTTCACCCCGACAGCTACTAGAGGGCACTCTAGACTTTTATACCACTATCTGCTACTCTTGTACAATCAAAAATGTACATGTTCATTATTATCCCACTGACAACTGCTAGAGGGCACTCTGGTGTAACGACTTACAGTCCGTAAATTGCTGTATTTTTTAACTGATAGTAGTTTAAATGAGAAAACACATTTTGATTAACAGCCTGGACCAAGTATGATTTAACAGGAGTTATATTTTAAAAATGTGACAAGACTCAAATAAGTTCAAATCTAAATGAAGGTATTTTCTACTCAACCCTTGCTTTGTTGCTTGTTATAGAAACCTGCTCTTCAACAGCTCGCATTCTGTAGGTTGTTTGTCTTGGAGACGGTGGTGGAAAAGCCCGTAGTGGTGGAAACACAGTCAAATGTACACTGGGGAACAGAGGAAGTTAAAAGGAGGGACAGAAGCTCTCTGATGTGCGTGTGTGTCGGACTACTCCCACGAGCTGTTGCCTTTTGATCAAATTTGCCGGGCGACTAATAATTTCCCTCTGTCCTTTTTTTGAACATGGTTTATGTGTTTTTCTAAATAGAGCTGGATCACAGCCTGAATACAAGACAAGAGTTCATATTTGAAGTAGATGTAACACACAATGAAACATACACAATCGCTAATTCAATTCGCATTAAGTGTCAGTTTGTTAGTGCTACAAACAGTTATTAAATAAGTGGATGTAGTTTGTTTATTCCAACTATTATCTAAATGTTAATTTATTTAGTCTTAGTTAACTGAACTTCAATTAAAAATAAAAATAAAAAATTCAAAGTAATTTTTTTTTTTTTAACATAACCAACGTTTAAAAGCAAGCGGCCGGTAAAAAAAAATAATATAAATGTGTATTACTGGTGCCTTTTAGTCATAAATAAAAATAAATATATGAATCAAATTTTAAACATGTTCATATCATGAACAGAAAAAATAAATTAAATCATGAATAAACAGATGTGTTTAATCTATAAATAAACATTTATTTCTGTTTGTTTGTCTCCTGCTCCATTTTCCTTCCAGCGTCCTCATTCCTGTACTCTCCAAAGTCACGTCGACTCTTCCTTGACTTTAAAACCAAGCAGTACTTTTCATTCTTGGCCTCCATTGTCTTCCTGCTGTCAACATCCACATACAGCTTTAGTGATTCTGCTGTTTTTTACGGTCATGGTGTGGCAGCTCCTCTCTGATAATCTGTTTATAAATGCGATAATGACATCGAGGGATTTGATTGCTGCATTTCTTCCTGGGAGGATTTTGCTTTCTAAATATTACGCTGGCAAACAAACGTATAGTTGTGGCCGTACATGAAACCGGTTTATATAACCTTAGGACCAATCCAACAGCCTGGGTTGTTGTCTGGTATGTAAAATGCTCCTTCTCCACAAGGCTGAAAAAAATGGCTATTTAAGTATGTTATGAGGCTGAATTGTACAATAAGAATAAACTAAAGTAGTAAAAGTTAGGATATTCAACACGACATGGCCCACATTAAAATTAAGATTTACTGATCTGTGAGAAACACGCAGCACATATCACAAGGTTTTTTGTTTAAAGAAAACATAAATATAGCGTGTGTGCTTTGGTTGGTCACACAGTGACACCACTGTAAAAGGATTCCTTTCATCTGAAGGCATATGGATAATGATTCTTTAACAAAGTACAACAGTGGAAATAAAACTGCTTCCCCCGCCTCGCCCTCACTGATCTTTACGACTAAAGGGCCTCTACCCCCAGCTGTCACTGACCCTGACTCTGACTTTGTCAAAGAGGGTTTGTAATGGCACGAATGCAGATGTGGAGGCGAATAGTAATTTCTGAGATGAATTCTTACCAGAAGGATTTAGAACTGTAGAACTCGGAAGTAACACAGATGTTAATATAAAAATCTTTTTTTAAAAAAAGCTTCTACACATTCCAAAGTACAAACTTTACAATTATGTAAGACACAAATAAAGATGATTTTATTTTTAGGTTTTTTGTGGAATTGTATTTTATTTGTTTGATTTTAATTAGGTTTTTTGTGGAATTGTATTTTATTTTTGCCATGTTTTGATTTTAATTTTTTTTTTGTTACTTCTAACATTTTGATTTCAACTAAAGGTTTCAGAGGATTTCTAAATTAAATTATGATTAATTACAATCGTAATTTGTCACGATTAATAATGACTAATCAAGCAGGTAGAGCAATGAATTTCACAGCTGTTTTTATTTGGGACTAATCCAAATGGTAGAATTATTAATATGGAAAAAGAAGAAGAAGAAAATGCAAAACTTAAAATATAGTTTGAACACTTTGAGAGTTTCTTTTTAAAACTTCAATGAGAGAAAGAGAGAGAGAGAGAGTGAGGAGGGGTTATAGGGAGAGAGAGAAGAAGACGTTCTTCCCAGTCCTCAGTTTAACATTTAATTATTAACTATTTAAGAGACCAAGAGAGTGTTAAAGTGCCAGTGATTTTCTGCCTCCACACCCTTTCCTCATCAGTGCTGCAGCATTTCTCTGACATGTTCTACCGCTGCTTATTAGAGAAGGAAACATTTCCTCTTTCTGGCTGCACTCATTTTATTGGTGACTTTTCTTTATGCACCCAATAAACCAAGTGTCCTGACCCGCAGGTGTAATAAGGGCAGAAAGTGCCTGTAGTGCACTGGTCAGCACAGATGTTATTGAATGTAAGATGCTGTCCAATGAGAAAATTGCAGGCAAAGTGATCGGCTTCTCTCATGTCCGACTGATTCCCCTGCTATTTTGTCAATGACCCTTGAGCAGCAGTAAACACACAGGGTTCAAGGCCCTGTCCTAGGCCAGAAGCAATAAAGATGAGTAATGACTCCGTCTCTCTGTTTTCCCTTTGCAGACAAGCCAGTCTGAATGAGGCAGCGGAGAAGTACTATGGACGAGCGGCGAGCCTCAGACCCAATGTGAGTAACACCCATGACCAACTAATTACCCACTTTACTCCTCACCCTGATAGACACTGTTCAATTACCAACTGGACAGCTATGCTATAATAACCCAGCTCCAGTATGGGCTCTTACAATGGCTTCCATTGTCACTGAAGTTAGTACCAGGTTTGACGGAGCTCAACGGTTTGTTTGTGCAACATCCATCATCCTCTTCAAAGGAGACGTCCAGGCTAAGTCAGTTGACAAGAATAATGATAATAACACTCGGTCAGAAAACGTTAACGTCCTGGAAATGAATGGGACTTTTCAGAATGTTAAATGTCAGAGAGGTCAGGTTGTTGAAGTGAGTGTTACGGGGGGTGGGGGGGGGGGGGGTAGTGTGACTAGAATCTTGATTAGAAGAAATGAGGTCTTGATTAGGGAAGGTACTTCAGGGACACATATACTCGCTCTAAGCCAATGACAAACACATTTTATACTCGTGACTCATGAGTTTCATTAGGTTATAAATACATATACTGTATACGTATATAATATATACAGACAGTGATGACCCATTCATTTTAGCCATTTTGTCCAAAAGGGAATCAATGATGCTAACATTGGAAAAGTCAAACTGAGTATGTTAGTCCCCCCGTCTCTATTTTAAGGCAGATCAGTCTAATCATTCTGACTGTTCCTGGACATGTGTAGTTTTACAAACATGCGTTTGATCTGCATCCAAAAACATTGTTCCTTTTCATCCCTTTAAGCTCCGTTGTCCTTGGCTGCCTGTAGACATGTGTGTTACCAACAGCTGAGGCACCGTTGTAATTTGGCTTCGTCGTCCATCTTCTTCACCTTTATGCTTCCTTTGTTCCCTCAGATGTGACTTGACTTAACCCGTGTACAATGTCCATCTTCATTTCTCATATTATGCTTTCCAGAAACTTAACTTTGTCACTGGTGTTTTGGATTAAACACACGTCTGCTCGCAGAACCTGACAGTAGGTTCTGTTTCAGTGATTCTGGATCCTGGTTTACTTCAATGGTTAACCTTAAACCTGCGAAATCTGTCCATCATTGACAAATATTTTTATCCCTGAAAAAAAACTACAGGAGTAATTCAGTTAAAAAATGTAAAGAGCGATAAAAGTGCAACAATTAATAATAATAATTAATAATAATTATAATAATATTCATATTTTCAAAATAATAATATTAAATAAATGGATCCTTTAATTGACCAACAAAGGGGAAAATTACAGTGGGAGTCTTTGCACCCCACGCAGGCTGCCACAAGAGGCAGCATTTACTCTGCGGTTCCTCTGGGGCTCAAACCCAGGACTTTCTGCACGTAAAGCATGTGTAAGGCAGGTCTGACAACTGCTACGCCATGCAACCACCAAGTGAGACCTTTATTGATCCCACGCTGAGGAAAGTGTTTCATTAACAACAGATCTGCTGCAACAGGCTGCCCAACAGAGGGCGCCAAGTTTGTGGTCCCTCTCGGGCTCGAACCCAGGACCTTCAGTGTATAAGGCAGATGTGTAAGCAGGCATGATAACCACTACACAAAAGTTATGCTGAAGGATATTCAGTACTCGGTGTGTACTGCAGTCAGATCTGTAAAAGCTCGGCTGCAGCGACTCTTAAGTGAAAAACCAAGGCTCATTGATTTTCTTCCCAGGAGTCTTTCTGCTGGGCTTTATACTTAAGGTCAGTCATTATTGTCTATCATGGACCATCTCTCACAAACTTGGAATCCAAGCCTTCGGGCTTCTGCCTTTTAAGGTCAATCTCTGATAGATTTTCCAGTTTGTCTCTCAGGCAGTTGATTTACTGTATGTTTTCAAACGTCATTCTGAAACCATCCTTTTCTGCACACATTGTTTTGACTCCTACACCCAGTGTCATTTAATTTAGTTGTATTTATGGAACCAAATCACAACATATATTATTTCATGAGTTATAACGGTGAGTAAGCCCTTGGCAGCCCTGGACAGAAATACTCCCCTTGAACAGGAAAAACCTGCAGGGGAACCAGGCTCAGGATGGGCAGCCATCTGCTTTATCCAGTTGGGCTTCAAGGAGAGAAATCTTGGAAAATAAAGAAGTGGTGGGAGAGTGGGGAGTAAAAAAAAAAAAGAGAGAGACCAGGATTAGTAATGTACCTGTTGCACTGCCAGATTTGGTCTGTGCAAAAGAAAAAGAAAAAAACTTTAATGCTTTGTCTTACTTTGAGCAGCCAAAGGAATTATATGAGGAGCATAAATTTCTGCAGAACCATCCCCACGTCTACTGGGCTTGTAACCTAATTCAAGGGAAGAGGAAGCATCGTCTTAAGAAGCCGGGCAGCGTATTATTTGATCATTTAAACGTCTCCAGAGATTCTGAGCCAAGAAGCCTGATAATCTGATTGTCCATTTAAAACATTCACGCTCAAGTGACCCAGAGTAGAACTATCAGTTGCACCAGCAAAAAAATTAAATTAATTTTTAATATAATAATAATATGTTTTGTCTTTACAGTTAAGAAAAATAATAAATGTTCCCATAGCCTCAGCCCTGACTGCCATTAAAACACTTATTTGTCTTTGTCTTATTTGTGAGCTGTTGTCAGAGGATTTCAGAATTCCATATGTGGGAATTTTCAGTGCTTATTCCTCATAGCACTGATCAGAAAATGCTTTTCTCTCATGGAAACCACATGGCACTGTAAATTACTGGTGGTTCGTTAATAGGCCTTGAGAAAAGGCTAATGGATTGTTGTAGAGTACATTAGTAAATGTCAACGGGCCACAGTCATGTGCCATTCTGTGTGCCAATATTGTCTGAGGTAGTAATTACAGAAAAGAATAGACAGAAAAAACAACCAACACAATTGGTCAGTTTACTATGGCTGCTTTGTTTGGCCATTCTTTGTTTTCTTGGAATTAACAATTACAGAATGTTTGGCAGCCTTTAAAGTGAAACAGTAGCGTCTCGGCAGAATCAAAAAGCCCATGTTCTCCGTTCAAAGGTTTGTTTTGGCCTTTCCCAGGGGCTGGGATACTTTATAGTCTAAGAATCATGGAACTTGGGACACTTATGTTGTCATGACTTACCGTCCTGTCACTGCTGCTGATGGTTCTGCTCCTTGGCATCACAGAGTATTCAGTCAATTCAAAGCCACTTCAAAGTGGCCACTCACTCTTAAATGTGTGACTGCTGACATGGCGTGGGGACAGACAAAGCACTCTGGTTCCAAAACCACAGTCTGGGTGATTTGACTAACAGGAAGCAACAGTGGGTTCTAACGCCCGCTGTAAAATGTGTTGTTGCTAGGTTTACTCATTTAAACAATTTTATTGTTTTATTCTGCATTCATTAATGCACACTGGCCTACTTTATTTGAGATGTTTTCATGCCCAATATCCAATAATATTTATATATAAATATATATTATAACATTTATTTATATATTATTATATATATATAATAAAATGATTATACCAGTGGAGATTTGGCCCAGAGGCAATGTCTCTGTCAACACCAGGGTTCAACTCCTGGGCAATTCAGAAGTTAGTACTTTTTTTAATTTAAATTTCTAATTATATTTGAAATTCGCTTTCACTTTTAAATAATCATTTTATTTTGTAGCATTATTTTTTATTACTGCATTAGCAGTGTATCTTGGTATTATAAGATAAATAATGGTAATTTAAGACTAGTTAAATATAGTTAATTAAACTTCAAATATATCATTGAAGGCACCAAAACCAAAAAGTGTGCACAATGAAATACCTTAACAAACAAGATTTTAAGACAGGGGGCGCTAGTAAGTATCACTGTTGTTGAGCAACAGCTCTCATTCAGCCATGTCCAAGGTGATTTATTGTTGATCAAGAGACAGTTGCATCACTCCTCCTGTTTGTGACATCAAACATAGACTGGATGGTCAGACAACGTTCAGCTCCTGATTTTTTTCTATAATGGCTAAAATTTCTTCGTCTGCTCCCAGTATCCTGCAGCTCTGATGAACCTGGGCGCGATCCTACACCTCAATGGAAAGCTACAAGAAGCCGAAGCCAATTACCTTAAAGCGCTCCAGCTGAAACCTGATGACACCATCACCCAGTCCAACTTGCGTAAGCTGTGGAATATTATGGAGAAGCAAGGCCTGAGGACCACGAACCCCTGAAACCCTCACTCTCTGCCTACAGTACTTCCCCAGTACCCATCGTTAGTACTGTTACCTACCAAGAGTACTGTTACCAGACCTGGAGGTAAAGGATGACTCCTCATACATGATGCCATCCAGAGCTAGAGGAGTCCTTTATAAGATGTTTGCTCATAAGGAGCTGTGACTGTGCCCAACCTAATGACTCCTAACTCTGCGTACACCTCAGGCCAGAAGAATTTCCCAGAAACACGGCTCACAGTTTGGCCCCAAAAACACAGTATTTGGACCGTTTGAACTTTCTTTAAAATAACCATTCCCACAGGAACCATTTTTCTTTTTGTTTTTTTTCTAACCACATAATTTGAAGGAGAAGTGACACCTTTAGTATTTCTGTCAACACCAGTGATGAATTGAGATCCTTAAATAAGCAGTAATAATCCAAAAGGCTGAAATGTTCCCCCAAGGAGCTGGAGCTATTAATACATTATCGTAGTACTCAGAGAATACAAGTCATTTTTTATCAAAGGCAAATACTTCGTAAAAGTCTTCATTAAAAAAATAAATTATACAAACAAAACCGGCAATTTGTAAACATATTTGTAGCAACTGTTTGGGCATTGAGCGAAACAAATTTAAAGTCATTTTAATTTAGAATAAATGCATAAATAAACTTTTTTATGGTAACACCAGATGAAGCCCACTCAGCATAGTAGCCTTCTGAAGCTACAGTATATCTTCCCATGGAAGTCACAGGCAGTGCGGCAGGTACACAGTGGTACTATAATGTACTTTGTCTGAACCTGTGAGGCTGATACAGATGATTTCTTTCCTAACCAAAAATAAATGCTATGCTATTAAAACTAAATGGTCATTGGCTAGCATGGACACAGCCCACTGGAGGGAGTTGTTCGCTGGGCTAATTTCATATGTCAACTTTTGTATGATACATTTCTAATATATATCTGGTTGTATGTGGTATTCAGAAACAACATGCAGCCAAATTGTAGCCAGAGAGAGGTCAAAGGTCAGGTTTTGTTGTCAACCTTTAACTTCAGACCTTCACTCCAAAGGGTCTCACGTTGTAGATATCGTGTTATTAACACCCGT